TGTTTTTTGCTTCTTCGCATTTCAAATCTTTGCCTTGATTCTTGCGCTCCTCTGGTCTGCTGTTGGGAGTCTGTATAGTATTTGTTATTTCAGTCCGTGTATGCTTAATTTCTAGTTGGTTCTTTATCATAACATCGAGGGTCTCATTAGATTTCTTGAGGATCTCACTACATTTATCGGCGGCTTCTAGACAGTTCTTAAGAGACCTTAAAAGTGTGGTTCTGAACTCAATATCCTCCATTGACAGTTTTGTCCTGTTTCTTTGTCTCCGCATTTTTTATGCTTTCTTGGTACACCCCCTAGTGGTCTTTGTGCGCAGTCTTGTTGTAGTTAAGCCTTGATTGTTGATGGCAATACCGTGGGTGATTTGACCTCCAGGCTAACTGGCTATGAGAGTCCGCTGCATCTGCAGTGGGAGAGCTTCTGTGCTGGATCTCTAGGGCGGTGCTAATCTAGCCTTTGCCTGAGGCTATCTGGCAAATGGCTCTGTGCAGGGCTTGGGTGGGGCGGGTCCCAGGGGATCTACAGGGCGGGCCGGAGGGAGCAGTTATGGCTGCTCTCAGTTCTGTCCCTAGGGGCTCTGCCTCACAGAGTCCCAGCAACCGCTGCAAACCTTGGAGAGAAAGCTGCCTTCGAGTTCTGACCAAAGCCAGACAGTCCCGCTTCTCCCGTTTGAGTCTGGGTCCCTAGAGACTCGCCCTGATCTGGAGCTCAGGGTCTGAAACTCCCTCCCGATTGAAAACAACAACCGCGCCCTCCGCCGCCAGCCCGCTCACGCGCACTCCGCACCTGAGTATTTCACTTCAGCACTGCGCCTCCTCTGAGTCTGGGTATGATATTCTCTTTCCTCCTAGTTGTAGAATTTCCACTCAGCCAGCCTTCCTGTGGTTCTGGATGATGTCCGTTCCGTCTTTAGTTGTTTTTCTGAAGTGGTTGTTCGAGGCAGCAATCTCCGGCGTTAACCTATGCCGCCATCTTGGTTTCTCTCCCTCAAGAAGTCAGCATTTTGCAATCCTGAAAAAGGAGCCTCATCCAACTCTGCTGGTAACTTCTTTGGGACTTCCCAGCCCAGAACTGTGAGAAATAAATTTCTGTGGTTTATAATATGCCCAGTCTGTGGTATTGTATTGTAGCAGCCCAAATGGATTAAGACAGTGGCCATCTGAAAGCCAATGGAGAAATCAGACCTGTGGACACCTTTATTGATCTTGAATTTCTTGCTTCCAGAACTGTGAAAAGAAAATTTCTGTTGTCTAAACCATCCAGTCTGTGGTATTTTGTGATGGCTGCCTTAGTAGACTAACACTGTTGCCCCTGCATTTGTAACAGGAATGCAAGTGGACAGCCCTGCTCACAGCTTCTGTCAAAAATGGAAACTAGGCATTTCTCCCACATTTCCAGCAAGTGAGGACACAGCAAGAAGTCAGGAAATTGACTGACTAGCATGACTATTTCCTAAGAATCTTAGATAAGCCAGTGGTAGGGACCCTTCTAGTAAGGGAGAGGTAGCTATCTCCAGAAGGGATTGGGGTTCCAAGCTTTGAGCAAATATTAACCTCTTTCTCCAAAACATATTTTTATGCAGGTGAAATTACCATGAAATTGTACTTTTAGTTTTGAAATTTTATTTTATTACAGAAATTGTAATTTTCAGCCTTGAATGAGAAAATTAATCAAAAAAGGACAATATGGCAGACCGGTGAAGGGAAAGGGATATTCATGAGTATGGTATCTAAAACATGAATTATGGGCAGCTAGGCTGGTTGTTTTCTATAGCAGCCTTCTATGAGTTTTCAGCCCTCTATGGTTGACCAGAGCAACCTGCTTGTCCACATCTCTGCCTCACTGATTTGATGAGCCGGTTGTCTCCTGGAGTCCTGGTTGATTGAGTGAAGAAAAGAAGAATATTACTTAGGGGTACTTTATTCCTCTGGAGGACATAGGAAATAGAGGCAATTGCACTTGCTTTGTAAATTCTTGGAAGAAAGTGCTCATGAGGGGGCTGAACTAGAAACTGACTGAAGGAATTTCTGCTCTTTCTTTCCAGTTGTGTCCCTGCGTGTCAAAAACAACATCACTCAATCAATACTTAAATACAGATTTTCTGGATGAATTGGAAAGAGTAGCCACAACACCTGCTTCATCTAAATCTGTAAAAGAAAACAAAGGGGGGTGGGGGTTGTAGTGTGTTCTCTCTCCTGGGAGCACGCCTGCACCTTTCCCTTTCCCCTCTCCCTCCCCCACAAGTGTGCATCTCATAAACTCTAAGAAACTCTAAGAGAATTACAACCAGGGAAGCAATGGGCAGTGGCAGCTCATCCCAGGCTCACCCCCTGATTCTGTCTCCAAGGTCCCTGGGATTTCTCTTTTTAATTGATTTTTCAGTGAGGCAATAGCAACCCCACCTTGGCTCACTTGTGTCACTGTGATTTTTATTTCTCAGTGAGTTCTCTCTGTCCTGCCTAGTCTCTCCCCTGTTGCTTCTTCAGTCCTAAGCCCTTCCTTGTTTCACTGTTCCCAGCTTTAATAAACATACTCTCAAAAGCACCTAAACTTGTGCTGTGAAATCTTTCCTGCACAAAGTCAAGAATTCACACACTACAAGCTGGCCCAAGGCAGACCCACTCAGGGCCAGGTCCCTGTCTGAATAACAAAAGTAGGAGTAATTTTTCCATGCTTATTGTTGTTGAGTGTTTCCTTCCACGGCTGGCGTGGAGTAGGGTTCGGTATCTGAAAGAGGAGCCGCACAGCAAATGAGAGAAAAAGACACGAGATAATTTTGCAATATTGGGGTACCAGGCGGCAAGTCCCGAAGGACTTCTCCTCTGTGCTCAGGCCGCTCCAACCTTTTATTGATCTGGGATGCCCCTATAGCATAGCCCTAGGCAGGTGACCCCCTGCAACAGGCAGACTAGCCCATCAGCAAGGATTTACATAATAATAAATGGGGGAGTAGTTTCAGCTACCACTGTCTGGACAAACAGAGGTGGCGCCTAGCTCCGGGCTTTGCTAGGGCTTCAAAGGCACCCAGCCTTGTGGGGGGGGGGGGGTTTCGGGGAGTGCTCTGTCTATGCTTATCAGATAGTGAAGGCAATAAACAGTTTCCCACATATTGTGTTCTTGCTGTCTGCACTTGGAACTATGGAGTCATTTGTAGGAGGGACTGGGTATATCTTTGTGTTGATAAAAAAGAGACAACAGCCCGGCCAGTGTGGTTCAGTGGTTGAGCGTAGACCTATGAACCAGGAGGTCACAGTCTGATTCCTGGTCAGGCCACAAGACCGGGTTGCAGGCTTGATTCCCAGACAATCAATCATACTCTCTCATCACTGATGTTTCTATCTCTCTCTTCTTCTCCCTAGAACAGCGGTTCTCAACCTGTGGGTTGCAACCCCTTTGGGGGACGAACGTCCCTTTCACAAGGGTCGCCTAAATACATCCTGCATATCAGATATTTACATTACGATTCATAACAGTAGCAAAATTACAGTTATGAAGTAGCAACAAAAATAATTCTATGGTTGGGGGTCACCATAACATGAGGAACTGTATTAAAGGGTCGCGGTATTAGGAAGGTTGAGAACCACTGCTCTAGAACCTCTCTGAAATCAATATATAAAATATATTTTTAAAAAAGAGAGACAACAGACCCAAATGGAGTCATTTGTGCTAAGCTCCACATCACCAAATGGAGACTTAATTTCTAACTTAAGACAGCCTTCTCCAGAAGTGAAATCATAAACAGTTAATCTGGAATTACCTGATGGGCACTAGTGAGATCATCTGCCTGATAGATTCCTGCCATCCTCTAAAGAAAGGTGACCTTGCCACAAGCAACCAGCTCTTTGCTTGTATAACTTTCTGTCCCACCCCCTTCTGCCTATAAAAGTCTATCATTTTGTACAGCTTGTTGGAGATCCTTTCTATTTGCTAGATGGGATGCTGCCCAATTCGTGGATCGTTGAATAAAGCCAATAAGATCTTTAAAATTCACTCGGTTGAATTTTGTTTTTTAACAGTGTCCTCTGCCACCTTAAAAGGTAGCAGAGCATGCCACCCAAAACTAGGCCTCTTGGCCTAAGGATTATTTTGAGAAACAGCAGATACAACAGAAGTTCTGAAAACAGAGAAGTCACCCTTCTGTAGGGACATCTGTCTTTAGAAAGGAAATCTCCCCGTGTAAGGTGTCTCCCTCTCTGCACCAGGAAGAAAAGGACCAGTCTAACTCACCAGGACTTCTCAATGGGAAGGAAGAGACTTACAGCTGCATAACCACCTTACCCTCTTGTATGTAGGATTACAACTAAAGACTCCACGTTTGAGATGCTAGGAATAGATACAGATTACCGGATAGTTTTAGGACTGAGAGCCAGTGGATTTCTGGTCCTTACTCCTTTTTTCTGTTCTCTGCGGCTCAAACTAACGTGTCAAATACCTGGAGTTCACTAGATGATGTCCACAGGTTCTTTCATTCCACAAACTTGTTTGTTTTTGCCAAGCACGTTCTAGGCATCGTTCTTTCCAACTAAACCATGCTAGAATTTAAAGTATTCCTGAGCAGCTCCTCCTATATTTAGTAGCGAGTTGCGCTGCGTGCACCTCACTTCAGTTATTGCAGCCCTACACTCCAGAGGCTCAAGGCTGGGGATGGGGTGGGGTACATCAGTGATGCCCCTGAATCAAGTAGGAAATAGTACATGAGAGCAGATGACTAAATGTGAAAACGTATTCCAGGGCCTAAAATCTCTCCTGGCCCAAAGCGGTAACGTGAAAAGACAAGTGACACTGGCCCTCAGCCTTCGCAGCCGGGCTGGGGCGGAGGTGGGTGGGCGGGCGGGCGGCTGTGACCACCCTTCCAGCCTCAGCTCCGCCCCACCCCGCCCCGCAGCGGCCACTTTAAGAAGCGGAGCCGCGGGCGGGCGGCTGGCGCTCACGTGACGCGGCAATCGCTCTCACTCACGGAAGTGGTCCTGCCTCTGCGGCCGGCGCGGGGTCCCCGGGCGCTACGACTGGTTCGCTGCCGTGGCCGGAATGGTGCAGTTGTATAATCTGCACCCATTCGGGTCGCAGCAGGTGGTGCCCTGCAAGCTGGAGCCCGAAAGGTTCTGCGGTGGGGGCCCCGACGCGCTGTTCGTGGCAGCGGGCAGCAAGGTGGAGGCGTTCGCCGTGGCCGGACAGGAGCTGTGCCAGCCGAGGTGCGCCTTCTCCACGTTGGGCCGGGTGCTGCGCCTGGTCTACAGCGAGGCCGGTGAGTAACGATGGGGCCTTGGCGCGTTGGGGCCTCCGTCAGCAGACCGAGCGTCCAGATGCAGGCCTGGGAGGGAAAGGGTCTTCGTGCTTCCGGGAACTTGCCGGAAGGTCTCGGGTAGTGGGGCGGCTGATGACTGAAAATAGCTGAGCTGTGCTGTTGTCCTGGCAACCACTGGTGAGAACCCGCTTTTAGAGGGCGGGGGATGCTGACTGCTCCTCCTCATCTTATACCCTAGTCCAGTGGTCGGCAAACTCATTAGTCAACAGAGCCAAATATCAATAGTACAACGATTGAAATATCTTTTGAGAGCCAAATTTTTTAAACTTAAACTATATAGGTAGGTACATTGTTATTAACTTAATTAGGGTACTCCTAAGCTGGCCTTTGCCAAAAATGTCCTCAATCTGATTGAGGTACGTTCGCTGAGGTCGACCCCTTCCACCTCTCCCATCCACACTCGTCTTGTATACCTGTTTCCTCTATCTCCTTTCGTTCATCCTCTCTATATGTCCAAACCAACTCAACATACCTTTCTCAATCCTCGACACTACATCTTCTTTCACTCCACAACATTCCCTAAAATTAACTTAATAAACTTTACTTTTGTCACCCTTGCACGATTTGCGGACGCTTCTGGCATTAACCACTGCACAATGAGACTGCTGACTGGCTCACTCAACTCCTGCATGAATCTCGTGCACCTCTCCCGCGCTGTGTATCCCTCGGCCTGCCTGCGCCGTGTCTCCCATCGCCCAACCCACCGACACCCCTGCCCCCCACTTCTTCTAACGCCACTTCTTCAAAATAGACTCGCCCAGGCCAAAAACCAACTTCTGCGCATGGGCCACAAAGTTTCAATCGCACTGTACGTGTGTGCCCGCAAGTGGTATTTTGTGGAAGAGCCACACTCAAGGGGCCAAAGAGCCGCATGTGGTTCGCGAGCCACGGTTTGCCGACCACTAACCTAGTCAGATGCCCTAGTCCAGGGGTCCTCAAACTTTTTAAACAGGGGGCCAGTTCACTGTCCCTCAGACCGTTGGAGGGCCAGACTATAGTTAAAAAAAAAACTATGAACAAATTCCTATGCACACTGCACATATCTTATTTTGAAGTAAAAAAACAAAACGGGAACAAATACAATATTTGTATTTGCATGTGGCCCGCGGGCCGTAGTTTTAGGACCCCTGCCCTAGTCAGTAAAGCCTGTGGTTGGGTAACTGGGTTCCACTCACTGTAAGAAACCCAGACACTTAAAAAAATAACAAAACAAACACATACATTTCAAACACAGACAAAAGTAGGGAGAATAGTAACCTGAGACCCCAGGTACTCCCAGCTTCAACAATTAGGCCAACTCATGGCAAGCCCTGTTATATCTATACCTATATCCACTGTCGATTTTTGAAAGCTCACATTGTATGATGATTTTAAAATCTATATATGTGGAACTCCCCTGCTGGAAGCTGGTCCATCCTTGCTGCTTGACACAGTTGCTGCAGGGAAGAAACATCTGCACATCTGTTTCAAGGGACCTGGCCAATATGGCATACTGTTCTTAATGTTTACTCCCCTACTTAATGCTATGTTTTTGTTTTTTGTTTTTTTTTTTAATATATTTTATTGATTTTTTTACAGAGAGGAAGGGAGAGAGACAGAGAGTTAGAAACATCGATGAGAGAGAAACATCGATCAGCTGCCTCCTGCACATCTCCCACTGGGGATATGCCCGCAACCCAGGTACATGCCCTTGATCGGAATCGAACCTGGGACCCCTCAGTCCGAAGGCCGATGCTCTATCCACTGAGCCAAACCGGTCTCGGCAGCGCTATGTGTTTTAACCAAGGTCACCTCTCCGAGAAAGGTTGTTTCCCCAGGTGGGGATTTTTCCCTGGAGTTAGGGATTAACAGGACTAAGGAAGGGAATAAATCAGTAAAACCCCTTAACTAAGTGCCAGGCAGGTAGTTAATCACTTTAACTACGAACAATCATGCTTAAGCTACATAATCTTTACTTAGGATACTCTCCTTCAGTTACTTCCTTGTAGCTTAACAGAACAATAGAGTAGCAACCTTGGAATGGAGATAACATTTGGAATAGAATGAATAGGATTAAAATCAACTGGTATAAATACAGATATAACAGGAGAATAAAGACAGAACCTGGCTGGAGAACCTAACTACAGAACCTGGCTAGGCTGCTGATCAACTGAACACTGTCCGTGTCATTTCTTCTTTGCCAACTTCGTCCACACCTTTGGGAACCCTTGGACCTGCTGGGGTTGGACTCCAACACTCTCCTCTTTGAACGCCCATCCATCCCCACACTCCTACCCTGTCCCCAACCCCACCCCTGCCTCCAAGCTTAGCAGCATCCACTATTATTTTTCCACCAGAAAATTGAAGTGTACCAAGGGGGCACTGTGTGTGTGTGTATATCCCTATTTTAGAAAACTCCAATATTTAATAATAGGTACTTAAGATTGCAAAAGGATTCACCATAGGATTTTAAAAAACTGTCTAAAAAATACACTTAAAATTCGATTCCTCCTTTTCCAGAGGGGTGTAAAGGTGTAAATATGAGTATTACAGTGGAACCACTTCCGTTATTAATGAAGTGCAGAGCATCTAGTCCAGGGGTGGGCAAACTTTTTGACTTGAGGGCCACAATGGGTTCTTAAACTGGACCGGAGGGCCGGAACAAAAGCATGGATGGAGTGTTTGTGTGAACTAATATAAATTCAAAGTAAACATCATTACATAAAAGGGTACGGTCTTTTTTTTTTTAGTTTTATTCATTTCAAACGGGCCGAATCCGGCCCGCGGGCCGTAGTTTGCCCACGGCTGATCTAGTCCCTTCTCTGTCTGCAGGTGCGAGTTCATTGAAACTTTTGAATCTCAGTTTCAGTAAAAAAAAATAAATCAATAGATCAGTGATTTCCAGGCACTGGGATTTTGTGGATCAGTAAAAAACTGTGAGGCTGCTGTTCATTTTATCAACTAAATATATATATTTTTAAAAATGAAGAGTCCTTATATTTACTGCCACCATTATTTATAAAAGTAAAAACAGCCTCAACTGTTGGATGTCTTTGCTTTATGATCAACTTACTACACTGTAATTAGTTTTTCTTTTTGACTAGTGAAGACATCAACAGGGGCCTGCAATGGTTCACGGACCTGTTTGAACATTTTTAGATCTGTAAGTTCTCTTTTAGCAGAAGATTCTGATTTAGGTATTTCTTATGAAATCAGTTTCAGTCGTTTCACAATATTGGTAGTTTTTCTCACCCAACCCCCTTTCAGGCACAGGAGTTCTCACCTGAAGAGCTCTACTGAGAGCCAAATTCACCGGTTTCAACTTTACTGTGTGTGTGTGAGAGAGAGAGAGAGAGAGAGAGAGAGAGAGAGAGAGGAAGAAAGAAAGAAAAGCAATACACTGTTTACATTATTTGCTCCATTCTTCCAAATGGACATTTATTCTAGAATTGAAAGTGGCAGGCATTTTATAAACTTTAAACTTTCTTGACTGTCAGTAGTGGTGATTCTAAGGATCCTTGGCACATAAGAATTACCTGGAGGAAGCTTTAAAAAATACCGTTAATATAAGAAACATTCAAACCTGTAAAGAACTTTATGAGTTTATTTGAGCCAAACTGTCAACAATTGCTGGGAAGCAGAATCTCAGGTATTGAGATAATGCTCTGGATAATGATGGTTTTTCACCTTGTTTCATACATTGCAATCAAAGGAGGAGACATAAGTGGGTTACATGAAATCCATTGGTGATTGGTTAGAGAGGCAGGAGAAATTAAAAGGGGGATAGGGGAGGAAAACTCTGGGATTGGATAAAAAGTAAAATGATAGACACATGCTTTTTTTACTTTTTTTTAAAATATATTTTTATTGATTTCAGAGAGGAAGGGAGAGGGAGAGATAGAAACATAAGTGATGAGAGAGAATCATGGATCGGCTGCCTCCTGCACGCCCCCTACTAGGGATCGAGCCCACAATCCCTAGCATGTGCCCTTGACCGGAATTGAACCCAGGACCCTTCAGTCCGCAGGCTAATTGTCTATCCACTGAGCCAAACCAGCTAGGATACATGCTTCTTTTACATAGGTGGGTACAGGATAGTTAGTTAATAGTCAACAATTAATGATAACAATAACAATGAGGGAGTTTGTGGTCTCCACCTTGGAGCCTTGGCACATTGGTTGTGCCCTGAGGGGTCTGGAAAAAGGGAAGTTACAAGTTACCCTGACATTCCACAGGTATGTTATCTAGGTGCAAAAAGAGGATAGGCTCAGTAAAAATTGAAGTTGATCTTTGCCAGGGAAGATATTGGCCTAGGACAGCGGTCGGCAAACTGCGGCTTGCAAGCCACATGCGGCTCTTTGGCCCCTTGAGTGTGGCCATGAAGTTTCAATTGCACTGTACGTGCGCGCCCCTACGTGGTATTTTGTGGAAGAGTCACACTCAAGGGGCCGCAGTTTGCCGACCACTGGCCTAGGACATGACTACCCACCATAGACTGCTGGGAAGATACCTAGGACAAGACTTTTTACCATAGACTGCTTTTTAATTAAAGTTTTAATTTCAGACCATCCTTTGTGGTTACTTTATTTATTTTTTAAAATTTTTTCTTTGTGGTTACTTTAGGTTTCTTGAGTTTGCAAGGTTGCCACACAGGCCTTTCCTGAGCTAGTCAGGTTAGCATGTGGCCCCTTTTTGTCCACAATACCAATGCCTGGACCACAGCCTCGAAAACCAGTGTCAGTTTTCTGAGGTGTGGCCCAGCATTGGGGTAGTGGTAGTCTAATATTTAGCCAGGATTGAGAACCACTGACCTAGAGCCATACTGGCTACTGTAGGCAGTGAGTAGGATGGTGACCTCATTAATGAGGCCTTGAAATCAAAGATGTTTTTATAATCTGGTTGCTGTCTTAAAGGAAGTTCAGGAGTCATGTGGAATGTATTAGCATGGGTTATATGGTTCA